ACATTTATTTATGCGTTATCGATATACGATATATGAGTACTGTCAGGGAAAGGGGTACTTTGGATTTTATTAAATTTTTTTGATCAAAGATATCTCAACAACTACTTGATTAAAGTTGATAATTTTTCTATTTGAATTCTACAAATCTGTAAAATTCAAATAAAAAAGTTATTATTAATTTTGATCAAGTAGCTGTTGAGATATTTTTGATCAAAAATTTTTCAAAAAGTCCAAAGTAGCTCTTTTTCTTTGTCAGCACTCATATCATGTGATGGGCACCGCGTGATCCCGCGCGTAATGTGAGGCAGTGTTATAAATTAGGCCAGGTTCCGAAATTATCCGATGTCGAAGTAATTTTTGACTCATCTCCATAAGTTTCCGAAATATGGATGGAAAAAAACTATCCCGCACGGGATTTTTGGAAAGCTGCCGATTGCCCGTCACTAGAAAAATCAGTCAAATAAAAATCTAACCATTAGCGTCTGTTAATACCCTTTAAATTTTGGATACAGAGAAAATTAGCCAAGATGTTCTATAATTAGTTGCTATAAAATATCTTTTCTGCTACAGAATTCGCTATTCTAGTCGGACATACTATAGAGTCATGGACGGGTTAGTTTGCACCAGAATATAGTGACTTCTACCATTGGCTAAAGTAAAACCTGCCATTTCAATGACAATAGCTTGTAGTTTAAGTTGAGTTAGTTTGTATTGTAATTATCAAAATTCTTATCGTGAAAAATTCTGTAACAAAATTCATTCGTTACTCCAGTAAGCGTAATACATGGTGTGTTAGTTTGCATTGGAATTATTGTAATTTTTATCGTGAGTTACTGTAAAAGATCTTGTTAAAGAATTCGCTATCCTAGTGAAACATAGTATGTATAGTCAAGGTCGATTAGTTTTCGTCAGAATTATCGTGACGTTTACCATGAGCCACAGTAAAGCCTATTTGCTATTCCAATGACAATAGTTTGTAGTTAGAGTTAGTATCACAATTTCATCATGAGTTGCTGTAAAAAATTCTGTTACAAAATTTGCTTGTCACTCTGATAATCATAATATGTGGTGAGTTAGTTTGGAATTATCGTAATTTTCATCATGAGTTGCTATGAAAGTTCTTGTTAAGAATTCTCTATTCCAGTGAAGCATAGTATGTAGCCAAGGTCAATTTGTATTTGAATTGCCATGATTTATATCATGAATTACTGTAAAAAATTATATTACAGAACTTACTATTCTGGTAATATTCAGTATAAAGAATGGCAAAGACACATAAAAATTCAAAAACCTAGAGCAAATAAATGCAGCTATAAATGATCACGATTATATATATAGGTTTCATATTTCTATAATTCATTCGTCATTATACTATCAGTGCGGGAAGATTACCGTAATTTATATAAGTTTTATGTAATCTGAGAAAATTCAAATTTTATAAATTTTCATGTAAGTTTAATCATGCGAACAACACAAGTCAAAACCCTCATAAAACTGTAGATCTGAGTGTAGTAATGGGTCAGTAAAGCTTTCACAAATATGACATTCTATTTGGGTTAAAAGTGTAATTTTTTGTAAATTTGGACATTTGAAATTTGGAAATTTGGAAGTTTTTAGAAAGTAGAAAATTCGAATTTTTAGATTTTGAAAATTGGAAATTTAAGAATTAAAAAATTGAAAAATTTCAAAACTTCTAAATAAATATAGTAATTTCCATCATAGATAAATAAACATAACTAGAATTGGCGCTGGAGTTAGTGTAGACAAATGCAATCTTAGTTATTCATGGTGAAATGCAAATTGTCATGAATAAAATATTAATTTCCCTTAAAAATAGTAGATTCGCAACTGTATATTGTGCGGATTAGATTGATAAAGGCAAGAATCAGAAAAACCAATCGTGCTCAAAATACTTGATTCATATGAGTATGATGAACTTATTGAAAAACCAAAAGAATATTGTAAAACGGAAGATGTGTATCCTTTATTTTAATTGGTTTGGAATATCCTTATAGTGAGTGGCGACGAGAGAAAACCTTTTAATCATAATCTTTGAAAATTTACTTTCAATAAAAATATCTAAAATCCAGAAATTAAGCACTTTTTATTTTAATACTAATTGAATAATTATTATTTTAATATTAATGTTTTTAATTTGTACGTTCATTCTAATTTAAATACAAATTTAATTATCATTATTTAATTAGATTGATGATATTTTATCTTCATTTGAACCGAAGCTTGAGTACTATCATTATTTAATGAATTTTTTATACTTTTAAAAACCTTTTGCATTTATATAAGTGATCCTTTAATCGAGCGACTAAATTCACAAAGTCCTCTCCACAGAAGTTGCACATTTGGCGAGGTGTAGTTTGTCAATTTCCGTAACTTTTGTAAAGTTCAAGCGAATTTCTTTTAATGGAGGTCTCCCACGGTGCATTATTGTTTATAGAGATAACGATAAAGTTGTATTTTGACGAAATTGGTTAAATAAATAAATATTATCCATTGTATATTATGATTACTTCAGAATGTATTAAATCATTTAAAAACATTTTTAAATCAAACAAACATGGTTTTAAATCATTTTCCATCCCTAACTAGAGGTTAAAAAAGCATAATTTGCGAGTTTTCATTTCTCCATCGCTCTTTATTAGTTTACAAATTTATTTATTTATTCATTACAATTGAAATATAATTCATAAACGTTAAAATTTTAATCATAAAAATCATTTGCCATAGACTCTTTTATTTTTAAACTAAAAATACATATAATCTAAAGTTTATGTATTATATTTTTTAAAAAAGACTATTATGTTATACTTTATACAATTTAATCTTTAAATAAACTTTTCCATATCCTCAATATGTATGTTATCATCTTTATCAATAATATTGTTCGAGTTAACTGTTTGAAGACATACGACTTTTAATTCATTATAATTAATAAATCTACTAGAGTAAACCGCCCGAGAATGTATAGAATCCAACTCATTATTGCTAATAAATCTGCTTGAATAAATTGCTTGAGGATGTGTGGCACTTAATTCATTATTAGTGATTTCATTTTTATTAGACTTTTCAAATTTCGATAAAATTTCTTCATTTTGCCAAAGTTGAATAAGTTCACAAATTTCTGAAGCTTGTGGCCGTTTCTTTGGATTATTGTCCCAGCATCTTCTTATAAGGTCATTATAACATTGTGGCACATTTTTAACAACATCTGGTCTCATTCCTTCGCAAATTTCTATAAGAAAACATAAATCATGTTTTTTATCTGAAAATGATAACCTTCCTGATGATATTTCCCACATTATCATACCAAATGAATAGATATCGGATGCCATTGTATATTCTTTTCTGCGTAGAATTTCTGGAGCAATATATGGAAATACTCCATAAATTCCATCAGATCTCATTAATACTTGATTAACTGATTCTGAGAGTCCTAGGTCGGCAATGTATGCGTTAAAAAGATAATCTTGTAATATGTTTCCACTATGTAAATCACGGTGAATGATGTTATGACTATGAATTGTTTGAAGATCTTCGGCGACATGGGACAATAAATTTAATTTCAGTTTCCATCGTATTCGTGCAACTTCATGAAGATTTTGACGCAAAGAACCTTTTTGTGCATATTGCATTACCAATATATAATCTTTGGTTTTCTTATCTTTCGATACTCCATAACATCGCAAAAATTTTTTATTTTTACTTGTAATTTCATGAAATACCCTTAACTGCATTATAATAATCGTTAATAAAATATTAACAGACAATAATTAAATTATCAAATATTTACCTCCTTGATGAATCTTTCAGAATTATTTTTTGATCCACGTAGAAACTTAACTGCAACTCGTTTGTCGATCCTTTTAGCTAAATAAACAGTTGCAAATCCGCCTTCTCCGATTTTTTTAATAATCTGCAAATCATTAAATGGAATCCATGATAATGAAGTAGTTTTTAAAAATTTTATTACAGGATTTCGGTTCCGATTCTGATTCAGTAGTGTAATAGTATGTGTTCGTTTAGTTTTAAATAATATAATTAAATATTTTCTTTAAAAATCAATTTAGCAAGCTGAAATATATTTACCATACGAGATATTACGATAATTCTACCAATGACTGTACAACAGAAAACTAATGAGGAAGTTAATAGGTTCAGGAAAGGTATTATATCATAAGTGGTAGAATGTATAACATAGTATATCTATTAAAGAGTGTTAAAAAAATTTAATAAAAAAAGCTGTAAACGTTGTACGTATTAAATATTAATGAAATAACCGTAATAATAATTATTTTTAACCTGAATGACTAGCTGAGGCGCATCTTCAATAATTAAATTTATAAAGCTAGCACAAATCTTGCTTGATTCAGATAATGGTATATTAAGCGTCAATATATCAATATCTAAGAAAGGTGCAATTATGAATGAAATTAAATTTGTTCTACACCGCATAAAAAATTTAGGATTTTGCTTCGACCTTTCATTTAGAAATATGAGTATTACGTTATATATTAACGATAATATTATAATAATAAAGCTTTTTTAATAATAAACGAAAATGGTTGATTATAATTTATGGGATCCCTTAAAAAGAGCAAAACGAAAAAATTCAAAAGAATACCTTGTACAAAACAAGACGGTTAAATCCCTCAAATATGTATATAGAAACAAATTATCCAAGATATGATCAAAAATTCTAAATACATTTCTGAATAGTATAAAATTCTTTCTCTAAAATAACCGCGTGCAATTATTTTAATATGTTGGGAAAAGTAAATTCCATCTATAACGCAAATTAACGTTCAAATATTATACTTACTTCTTCCCGATATGAAAGTAGCGTAAAAATGACGAAGGGAAAAAACAATACTCCAATGATAATTAAAGAGTATCCATAGCGATGAATTAAATAAATTAAATTATATTCATAGAGAGCCAAAACATCTCCTAAAAATTTTTAGTTCTTTATTAATTATGCACAATCATATATCCCATCGTGAATAAGCATTATTTTTAAATTTTTGAGTTAAATTTCTTATGAGTGGTTGGACTCAATATTTGTACCACTTGAAGCGTCTCAGCAAGTTAGAACCAAAATCATTCGAATCCCATTCACTGGATTCCGAGAAAATTGATCAAAGGTTAACATAATGGAATACCTTACTTTTAATAAGCCTATATTCATGTCGATTATCAGGTAAATGATCTATAAAAGGTTTCTGAAATTAGAACTCATACACTTCCTTAAATTAGCTTAATAAAAAAAGTTAAGTACGATACCAAGAGCAAATTTTGGAGCAGTTGTTGTCGTTAATGTCCAATTGCTTGCATTTGGTATTGCAGAAATTGCATTAGAAAACATCCAAACAGTATTGTTAAGAAACACTCCATTCAGCATCACAAGACTCCCGGGCAATGAGGGTGAGTCCCAAAAATTAGAGAAATTTCCTTGGATATCATAAATATAACCAATTAAAATATTATCATTTTTTAAACGAACAACTAAAAGGTATCCACCACTCCACAATTGGTAAATCTTATCCGCATCAAAAGTAGTGTCATTAAAATTCAATGTCGAAGGTGTTTTTACATTTCCATTCGAAGAAAATGCCACTTTAATGTATCGTGCAGGAATATTTGAAGTGCTATTCGTTTTAATACTAAAAACACAAGCTAATCCAGGTTCATAATATGTATTAAATTTATCACATGTTTCAATATTCATCGAAAATGCTTGTGATGTATCTCGATATATTAATGATGGTTGCGTCGAATAGTATGATGGACGAATAAATACTACATTGGCTACCCACTGTGCGTCAGAGAACCCTGCCATGACGAAACAATATCCACCATCAATTGTTGAAATTATTTGGTATTGATGCGATGAAATTATAGAAAAGTTGCTTCCATATGAAAAGCTTACATAGCGTTGGTCTCTGTAATATATATATTTTTGTTATATATATGATATTCCAAGTATATTGAGTTATGCCGTTAAAACTTACGAAACAGAATATTTTTTCCATCTTAGTAATCTTTTTGAGCTACACGGTTGACCCATATAAATCCATATTTCTGAGAAGAATCGACCACTAATGTACCCAATGATGATGTATCGCTTGCAGTAAAGTTAATAAATCCAAGGCTCAGTTCTCTTTATTAGATTGTATAATAGATAGTTGTTACATTATGCGAATTCAAGATTGCATATACAGTAGAAGTAGGTTAGAATTAATACCAAATATAAATTAATATACACCCAAAAAACGGACACGCCTTCTTACTGGATAACATTTCCATTCCAATCAATAAACTTTCCAATTTCTTCATACGTTTCTGGACTATTACTAGTATTATTCTGTAAAAATGCGATCATGGTATGGTTATAAGACAAGGGGAAAATACGAATCAGATCACGTGGAGGATTGGTTGCAATCGGGCAAAAATTAAAAGTAGGAATTGCTGTTATATTAGCGTCATTTGTACTAATGTTGTAAACCATAATATTTGGGTATATTAGCCTTAGGTGTAAGTAAGGTTCATAACAGTTATTTGTACCATTACGAATTAGCCGTAAAACTATCGGTCCGTTTGGATAACTTGCTGCATTGAGAATATGAAGACCGCCGCTTTGTTCTGTAGTCGATGAAATATTAAAATTATTACTATTTATTGAGCTTGCATTTGGCGTTATATTTGGTATTTCATCGACAGAATATTCTATTAAATAACTTGATAGTGCACATAATATCGTAATTAGAACGACAATTTTCACTAAAGTTAATATAAACATTGAAAACAAATTCCAACGTAAAAAAGTTTTTATCTTTCTTAGTTTCGGAGATTTTAATCTGTCCTAAATTTAATTTATTGAATGTTTGTGCGACAATCGACGCAAACGCATACATAAATACTATTTTTATTTTTATTTTATTTTTATTTTATTTTTATTTATTTTTATTTTATTTTTATTTTATTTTTATTTATTTTTATTTTATTTTTATTTTATTTTTATTTATTTTTATTTTATTTTTATTTTATTTTTAACAACTCAACTAAATAGAATAATATTTATTTTCATATTATTTTAGATAAGATTATTATTAAATTTTATTTGTTTTTAGTCAGCTTTGTGTAGCTCTGGATATCCAATGTGTTTGTTTTTCTGATATTAATGAAATGCATGTTAACAGCTTGCTAAAAAAAAAAATAAAAATAAAAGGAAGTATAGTAGGGATTGGCACATGTGCATGCTGCGCGATTTTAGAGAGCTTGCGCTAGATCATTGGGTCCGGTACCTTAGGTCCTGGTTTCGAGACCTAGTCCATAAAAACTAAGTAAGATATATATTTTTTTACTCTAACCCACTAAATCGCGGAAAGCAATGAAGCGTGCTTTATTTAGTCTTATTATTTACCTCTTTTATTTGTAAAGCCTAATTTTAGAACTAGGCTCGTAGGTCATATCACATGATTAATTTTTCCGTGCTCTGATTGGTTGGATAATATATAACGATCTCAGATCTCCGGAGTACGTAATTTAGCATTAGCGTTAGTGAATTATTTTTAATTAGTAGAAATATGTTCCAGAACTCAGTATTGAACCAAATATTACCTAACCAGAAAGTTTGCGCGATGAGACCTAAAAGTCTTAGGATAAAGACGTGACTACCTAGCTTGCTATAGTTTTTATAATTCGAGTCAACTCGCATAATGCTGGTCAGCTTGCATAATGCCAACTATGAAGACAGATTGCGCTACCTGCGCATGATAATCATGATAATCATATTATTTTTCTAACTTAGTTAAGTGACGGAAGGTAATACGTACCATTGAAATTTGAAAAAATTGACAATTCGCCCATCCCTAAAATTACATATTGTCACACGAGTTTTAGCTGTATCACTTTACAGCCTTACATATACCAGACGATTTATTGATTTACATGTAGCTTCGTTTTTTTCTTTGCACCATTTTCAAAAATGATAGCATTACCAAATGAATGCCTTATTAAAATATTTAATAATTTTAAAAATTATTATAGATTCTTATTTTCCTGCCTTCTTGTAAATCGTCAATGGTGTAGAAATATTGTTCCAATATTATGGAGTAAGCCTCATTTCAAAGATAGAAGAATTATACGAATATGCCTTTTATTATTAAATGCTGAAGAAAAAGCACTATTAATTCCATTTAATATATTACCTTCTAATGGTCCAAATCCATTATTTGATTACACTTCTTATACTAAATCGGTCAACCGCTGTAGTTTAGAAAAAGGTATCGTAAATTGGCTTTACAGTGAGGGAAATGAACCTTGTAACTTTAATAATTCTTATGATGGATATAAAAACTCTGAGGATGTAATTCAAGCAGTTGAATATTCTTTAATTACAATGTTATTACGGACAAGTAAAAAAATTAAATATTTAAATTTGGATAAACTTTTTATTAGTCGAAGATTAAATGATATAGTAAAACTATCAATAGAAACTTTTTATGAAAATTCCTTTATTACTTCTTTAGATTTTTCTCGCATTAAACTTAATTTCGAAGAAATGATAGGATTATCTGATGTTCTCAAGAATACCTATCTTGTTTCATTAAAACTTCAGGGCTGTGGTCTTTGTTCAATGAAAGCAAAAATATTAGCAGGCGCTCTTTGTGAGAATATTACTTTATCCTCACTAAATCTTTCTAGTAACAAACTTGGTTATGAAGGTGTGAAAATACTCGCTGAAGCTCTTTACATAAATACTTCTCTAACTTCCTTGAATCTTGAATCTAATGATCTTGGCATTGAAGGTGGTAGGGCATTGGCAGTAGCTCTTTGCAAAAACACTACACTGGCTTCCTTAGAACTTAGTCAAACTAATCTCGGCCTTAAAGGATTAAAGGCGATAGCAAAAGCTCTTTACAAGAATAATATTTTAAAATTTTTAGATATTGGAGGTAATGAAATTGGTTCTGAAGGAGCAAAAGTTATGGCAGAGGTACTTTGCGAAAATATGACCTTAACTTCTTTAAAATTTCATAAAAATCGTCTTGGATTTGAAGGAGGCAAAACATTGTCTGAAGCTCTTTGCAAAAATATCGGCTTAACTTTTTTAGATATTAGCAACAATAAACTGAATCTTGGAGTATGCAAAGCACTGGCCGAAGCTCTTTGCAAAAATACTACATTGACATCGCTTGTTCTTGACAATAATCAATTTGATGATGAGGGTGCAAAAGTGTTAGCAGAGTCTCTTTGTAGAAACACCTTTTTAACTTCCTTGAATCTTAATCGTAATCAAATTACTTCTGGTGGAGTAAAAGCATTATCAGTAGCTCTTTATAAAAATACAGTTTTGACTTCTTTAGGCCTTCGTAGTATTCAAAGTTCTTTTGAAGGGATAAAAGCTTTAGCAGATTCTCTTTGCAAAAATACAGCTTTAGCTAATTTAGATCTTTCTTATAACCGACTAACTTTTAGAGAAGGACAAGCATTGGCAGAAACACTTTGCAAAAACACTACTTTAACTTATTTGAATCTTAGTAGTAATCAACTTGGTTATAAAGGGTTAAAAGTATTAGCAGATGCTCTCTGTAAAAATACTACTTTAATTAATTTAATAATCTATAAAAATCAAGTTAGTGATGGTCAATATAAATTTTTAGAAAAGATTTTTTACAAAAATAGCACCTCAATTTTATTAGATTTAGATTACTGACTTTAAATATATAAATTATAAATTGTAAAATTTAAAAAAGGTTTAAAATTTATGTTGTACGAATATTTGCCCATTCAGAATTAAAATTATTTCTAAATTTAAGCTGTAAATTATGAATGATAACATAAATATTTAGTTTTAATAGATATAGTAGCATCATAAAGTCTTTATTTATGACTTTGTATTTACGATGTAAAAGCAAAATTTTTAATACTACCTATAATATAAACAATTATGCTACTAGACTGATAGCAATATGAAATTGAAAATACCTTAAATTAAACAAAAGAATGTAAATTATATTTACCACTAACTGACGTATGGTTCAATATTAAAAACAAATGCGAACATTCTAATTTCTGTACAATTAGATTTGCAGATATAATAACCTTTAACTAATGCAAAGCTAATGAATTATAGTAGCATTTAAATTAACGCTATTTTTTAGCAAAATGCTAACAACACTGTTAGCGATGAGATGTATTTTACTTTTGCTCATAAATAAATAAGTAACTATATGCATATTTTAGATGATGACATGAGAGCTTGCTAAATGATAAGTCAAGAACTCACTGAAGAAAAGATAAGTATGTTATGACGCTGTTGGCTTATCTATATATGTTTCAATTTTTTGGTTTTTTTTTTTAAAAATGACTACTGGCAACTTAATAAAGCAATATTAGTTTTATAAATTGCTAATTATTTATTTAAAAAACTTCTTTATGAAAAGTTAATTTATTTTAAAGATTAATTACTATTAATTTATATTTAGCTATTATATGCTTCAATTTTGAGTAGGTTTAATATACTATCCCTTCGTGTGTTAAGTATTTGCAGGCAAATTTGTTTGCAAAAAATTAAATAATATGATTTAAAAATTTTTAATATAATATTTTATTTAATTTATTATTAAAATACTTTCTATATTTTAAATATGGGGTCTTTGCCTTGAAAATGACCTTATGGTATCATGTACCGTAAGGTCATTTTCAAGGCGAAGACCCCATACGTATTATATTCATAACACCTGTGTTATATAACACCTATATAGTCTTAATTAGAGATAGATAAGAATTATTTTTTTTATATAATATAATATAGAGCTAATATAAGGTTCCAATTTCAGTTCTCGTGAGGTTTGGGGGATTCTGACCATTTTACTTAGAGCACCCGTTTACTTAGTACATTATTGAGATATAGCATAAGTTGTTATATAACACGGTGTTATAAATACAATTTTCCTTATTTTTTATTTTATTTTAATTATAAATTTTAAAAAATAATTACATTTTAAATAGTTTATATAAATTTAAAATTGGTCAATTCTTTATAAACAAATTAATTAAATTTTTAAATTTTATAATTTTTTTTAAATATATATAGTACTTTAATATAGGGCCTTTGCTTGAAAATGATCTTACGGGGCTATGTAGATTTTATGAACTAAATTTTTAGCCTTCTAATAACTCAATTCAAATATTTTTTTTTTTATATTATAGAACTTGATAAACTCCATAAAACAAAAAAAAAGCTTATTTAAATTTGATTACTGGATAACTAAAAAATTTAATTTTTATTTATAATATCCACATAGCCCTGTAAAGTTATTTTAAGGCAAAGACCCATATTATCAAAATTTTAATTTTAACTTTAGTTAATATTAAAAAAATATTTAATTAACTAAAAAAAAAATCAAACCTATTTTATAAATATTTATTTGTAACTGTTAAAATATTACAAATTATTTTATAATAAAATTTAATAGAACTTTTTAATAAATTTTTAAGTACTAGTTATTAAGATTGATTAAAATTTTTATTTCAAATATCATAAAAAAATATCTTTTTTATTTATATATAAAAATTTGAAATAATTTAAATTGTTAATTTTTTTAAAAATTAAAATATACAATTATTAGTTTTTTATTAAATAGTATAATATTTTATAATAAACAATTTTGATTTATTAATTTGTTTTAAATAATTTTATTAAAAAATGACTACTTTAATGAGATAATTTTAACATGCTTAATGTTATTAAAATCCAATTATGGGATCTTGTAATAATTAAGGTTTTGTGTT